TCCATATACTCAGGTAGTTGTCCTGATGCTGTTCAAAGAAGCACACAATACACTTATAGGGTGCAAATCTCACGGATCCATGATCATCAAAGCATCTTTTAAGACAATAAGGAGGGAGTCAAAATGAATTTTATCCAATGTTATGCACCCACCAATGATAGGAACAACGACAACAAAGATCAGTTCTGTGAGACGCTGTGATCAATCATACAGAAGTGCCCAAGAAAGTACATCACCGCCCCAATGGGAGATCTAAATCCTAAAGTCGGAATAGATTACACCGGGTATAGGAGATATCATGGAACTACATGGATTGGGAGAGGGAAACAAAGATGGAAAAGACTTGCAAATCTATGTGCATTCAACAAATTGGTTATGCACTGGATATCGGAGCAGCACTCACAGACATCCCTATAGATGTCACTCCACCAACGATCGAAAAAATTAGGATGGCTATCAGACAAACCTGACAATGTACCGGCTGAAGCATTCAAGTCAGAAATATACGTTATTGCGAATATGCTGTATATACTGTTGAGGAAGACGTCGGAGGAAGAACAAGTACCGACAGACAAAGAAAGGATACCTGAGCAATTATGAAATATTCAGAAGCAACACACCACTATTAGTACCAGGAAAGGTTCTCAACAGTGTTTCTGTATCAGATGTAGGATTCGGTAGACATCAAACTTTGAACTCAACAGGCTGAATTCAGTAAGGATCGGTTGTACAGTGACGAAATCATGACACAACAGATCATCTTTGAACAGTCAATTGAATGAGACTCGTCACTATATATCAACTCACTTGACTATGGGAAGGCGTGTGACGATGTGGATGGGACAACCTGTTGAACCTACTTCGACACTATGGTGTCTCTGATATCATCAATATCATACAAGATTCATACGACGGAATAAACTGCAAAATGGAGCACAAAGTATGACTGATAGATGCATTTCAAGTGGTAAACAGAGTCAGATAAGGCTGCTTACACTCTTTCTATTTCTTCTGGTGGCCGACTGAATTATCAAGACCTTGACATCTGACGGGAAGCATGGAATGCAATGGACAGCCTACATGCAACTAGAGGATTCGGACTCGACAGATGACCTGGCGCTTCTATCTCACATGCACGAACAAATGCGGATGAAGACAACTGGCGTAGCAGCAGGCTTTGCATCAGTAGGCCTCAACATACACAAGGGAAAAGGCAAAATTCTCAATTCAACACGGAGAAAACCAATTCAATCACATGTAGCGGAAATAAGTCTTCTAAGTCATTAGCTCTGTAAATCCTCAATATTTGATGCTGACTGCATTACTTTTACCGGACTCATCTGGCTGAAGGCTCTCGGTCATGCTTCCACACCAGATCACGAGTGAGTACTATGTGTTCAACTTCTCCTACAACTGCTAACCAGCTTAGATAAGTCACTTCTCGATATATCGATATTCTATCAAATATATCTTCGAACCGCTTCGCTTCTGACTTCTGGTTTGACTGAGTTGGCACATTTCAATTATAAAACGTGCTACTAGTTAAGACATTGTCAAACTCCGAATAATTGTGGCATCATTACACGCCTGATGGAGAAACTCTAGAAGAGGTGGAAACTATAATGTACCTAAACGGCATCATCGACGAACCTTGTGATGAGAATTTTATATTGTGCCAAAATATAATATTGAATAAAGCCACTAATAATAATAACGTGGAGGATCTGATGCAAACTTCACGATCAGGATTGACATGGCAAGAAAAGAATTCCTACAGATGAACAACGTATTTAACTCAAACACAACCGTAAACCAATGTTAAATTAGACGGAATACACCCATTAAAACATTAAATAAGAATAAATTATTTCAGCGAGGAGTTCCCTTTAGAGTGAATTCATTTGCAAAGCTGTACAATCGCAAATATATGTACTTACTATATAGGATGATAATAATCAAAGGGTGACAGAGAACATTCTTCTTAGCGAAATTGCAAATAGCATTTCCCAGCTTATCATTGTTCGCCAATAATCTCAAAGGTAAATTATCGCATCTGACCAACTCATTGTGCATTTACCAATTTACCTGCTCGTGTGGAGCTAAGTATATAGGTCGTTTGATGCTTACTCCATTCAAAAGGATTCAAGAACATTATGCGGCGTGGCTAAAAAGAGGGGAAAACGGTTCAATAAGAAGTTCAATAATCCAACAACTTGTGAACACAGGTCGCTCAATTAAGACAAGCTCTGCGTTCACAGTCATCTACAAGTTAAGAAGTATTCCAAAGAGAATTAGCTTGCATCTTCTTTGCATTGCCTAAGCAATAGCCACAAATCTGAAAAAAAACAGAATTGTGTGTCCAAACGAGATTGGTACAACCTTTTTTTCAACCATGGTCATAATGACTTATAATTTTTTTCTTCCTTTCTTCACACTCTTCTTCCTTTACAGATATCTTCTTCAACTTCCATCTTCCCCTTAAATATTCTACTCCCAACAGGTTCATTTCTGTTTCTACGATCATCCTGATTACATTTAATCTCAATTTCAACATTTTATCTTATCATACTGAACCATCGTTTCCCAACGAATACTTAAGCCACTAACAAACAAACGATTATTAACCTCTTCTTGTTTTAAATTTTTTTAATACCTTTGTTTATTTTACCTCACTGTCACCTTGTCTAACAGAAGCTTAATACCAGTATTATTATAATTATTATCATCCTATAAAATTAACTATATATATTTGCGATTGTACAGCTTTGAAAATGAATTCGCTGGAAAGAGAACTCTTTGCTGAACTGATCTTATTAAGTATCAAAGTCACAATCCTCAATATGAACATCAGGACAGTTTTACTGTACGGAACTGAAACTTGGAGAACTATAAACAATTGTCTGCGTAAGATACTCAATGTCCGTTGATCGGATACCATTGTAGTGACCTACTTTTGTTAACAGAACGCGATTGGTTCAATGAAAACAATTATTATTATAACCAATTGTACCAGTGACTGTTTTACTGTGCTCGTTTGTTTAACTGTGCTAATGACAGCCATTATACTTACTCTCCCGTTGACTTTGAACTTGTACGAATCCGGTTACGCTCAGTAACCACGCTTGTACTCCTTTGGCACGATCTCGGTATTCTTTCGATACCACGAGATCGCCAACAAAAACATCTCGACTACAGCTATCATCTGCCTTCTGATTTTTGGCCTACCGGAATCTTATTGGTCTATTGGCACGTAGTCTTGTAGAGGTGTTCATAGTCAAGCTCAACTCGACACCACACTACACCATCATCAATAGCCAACTGTGAGAGACGATAAACCAGGTTCCAAATGAAGTGGAAATTGAGGAGAGACGCTAGAAAAGGATAAAACATACATTACAAAAATCACCCAACTGCATAGTAAGGCATGCAGTAACTTCGTGAAGGGAAACAGAAAAGAGGAAGGTCAACGAACACACTGCGTCGAGAATGGGAAGCAGATATGAATAGCATCTAGAGAGAATTGTCCAAGTCAGAGTTGGATGAAGAATGTTGGGGAGAGACCTATTCTCCTCCAAGATGGATAACATGCAAAAATGGACGAATTGTTTACGAAATCAGACTAACATGATCATAAATTATTGCATGCATTTGATTAATCTTTGGATCTTTACAGCCTTTCAGAAATAACTCTTCAATTTGATGTATTTACACACTAGTATCTGTCGTCACTATCAACAAATTTAAGAAAGTAATTACTTCCATTAGGATTTCGGTTTGTATTTAATAAATTCATGTAAACTGTCAGCATTGCCAATCAAAGAAATGTTTTCATAACACTTGTAATTCTTTCAGTTGTAGTATCTTAACTGTAATTATGTAATCTTACCAATTTAATTGATAAAACTTTTATATTTGAAGGTAAAGATGTATTTATTACTTCATATATTTCAACTGAATTTAAAAGCCCAATTTCAAAGAGTGATTCACGGAACTGGTTTCAAAATCAATTAATATCTGTAATTAATTTTCGACTGAAACACTATTGAAACTTTGTTTTCAGAAAAGTATTTCTCAATAACTTCATATTATTTAAATGAGTATATAAATTCAGACTGTTAGTCCATCAGGCTTTTCACATAAGAGCTTATTCGTAAATAGGACATCCATTTGGTATTATATGATATTGGGCTTCGAGAAAATATTATATTTTACTAATTCAATATATATGGTTTGAGTGATGAATTGTCTTCAGTCGAAAACCGGATGTTTAATGTTGTGAAATATTCTTCACTTCGTGTGTCGAATAAAGTAGGTGGATCATTCTCATCAATAAACTTTATCCTTTACACATAAACCTGTACTTGGTTAGTGAGTTGCATGACAAAAGGGAGTTCATATCAAACAGCCTTATAAGAAACAAACTCGGATGAAATATAAGTTGAAAATATTAACAAAGCAAGATTTTTGAAGTTATAAGTGATGTGATTCGACCGGGAAAATGTATGAACTTCCTAATATCATACTTGATCTTTGTAACTGGTATGACTTTTTAAAAAACTTAGTGTAATTCTTCGTATGCTTCAAAAGCAGAAATCAATTTATTTTATTGTTTTCTAGTACAGTATAATATTTTTGTGTTTATTAAATGGATTGCCTGGGACAGAGTTCGATGGACAATGCTGGTGGGCAGCCTATAAACCTTCACGAGGGGTAACAGGTGTAGGTAACTCATAAGCATCTGCTAACTTAACGGACAACTATTGCGTCGACTAAAAATCAATTAGTTTGACTGGTTGATGTACTTGCTATCTTTAAGACTGTTTAAATAACAGTTATACTTTTGTCTGTGTTTAGTGATAAAGCTGGTTTTATTACTGTAAATATGCGTTATCAACTGAAACCTATTATTTTATATTGTGGGACGCGTGATATACAGTTCAAATTCAGTCAATCTTGAGTGAATTTCATAGTTACAAGAAGATTTGCTGTATGAAACGTCCCCACGATTCATCAATATGAATGGGTTTCAGAATATCAAATGACTTTGAAGTCAAGTTCTAATGTATTCTTAGTAAGAAACACTTGAATTAGTTGATCTTACAAATAATCTGTTTTAATTTTCTTGTAATGATATGATGACTTCGACTAACAAACATTTTTATCATAAAAATTTAACAGTAATTGTAATAAATTTATATCTAATAAGGTAAAAATAAAAGTTAGAATCGAGAAATATCAGACGTTTCTAAACTCCACCTAAATCATTAGAGAATCTGACGGGTTAGTGGAACTCAATTGAAGGAAAAACATTATTATATGAACAGCTAAATGTGCAATTGCTAACACATACATTATAGAATCTAACCCTGATAAATTAACAAAAAAAGGTGTTGTCTGAATGAAATTAATAGAGTATTTAACAAGACTGCATTACAGAAAAAATATAATTTATTGAGAAAAAGAATGAAAATTACTAAAAAGCAAAAATAATTTGTGAAAAACAGACAAAACTAGTGTGGAAAATATTGTAGGAAAAAAACAATAAAAATGCATTCATTGAATAATATTGATAACAGGAAGAAGTGAGCTTTTATTTGTAGAAAAACATTAGTTCTATACAAAATCGCATATTTAACAAAATAAAATCAGTTTTTACACAAGAAACCTATAGGACAAAAAAGTATTCCTTATTTGAGTAGAACAAATAACTATAAAACTGAAAACATTCAATTTTAGGCAAATATAAAGAACCTGAAAGTGAAGATTCCGATATCAAAAATTTGAAGAGACAATTAAAAGAATACCTGTCAAGAAATTTTAAAACCTATAGAGAGTTCACATTCATTGCTGCTTTTCCAGCTTGCTGCAATAAGTCTCTTGATGTAAGCATACACGATGTAGCAATAAGTAAATTCCATCTTCTCCGTTTAGCAACGAATCTAAGAGCTGCAACTTCACCATATGTACAACCGCCAGGAAATGCTACGACAATAGGTTGATCAGTGCTTACAAGAGGTAAAGGATGTGGAGCTGGGGCATTTGGACGGTTCTTTTTAAAAAATATATCATGCTGATATCCTGCAGCTGTTAATGTTGGATCACAGAGATTAACGAGACCCAGATTTGAAGCAACTTATGGGATAGAAAGAGAAAATCCTTTAATTTGGTTTACAAAAACTTACTTATTTACAATCTCTAGAAAATAACAATATTTCAATAGTTGAAGGTTTGACTATGTATTAGAATAATGACATATACAATGACAGGATTATAAATCCATTATTATGATTAGTGTACAAAATACATGTATTATGGAATTAGAAAATCACGTACTGTAGAAGGTAATCAATAAGTGAACTAATTCAGTTTAAGAAATCGTATTCACTTAACTAGTATTTTTGAAATGATAATAATAAACCAACTAAACTAAAATAACTATGAGAAGTAAAGGTTTACGCTAATAGTTGTTTCACAGATATCTCAGTCGATTATCAAATTGTGTAAGTGAAGTAAAATCTTCAATACAGTAGAAATATTCTCTATGAAATAGTCTTTGAATTAAAAAGATTATTAGGTGTTTGATTTCTAGTTGAACATATTTGTTATGAAATAAAATAGAGAAAATCATAAGAAGAATGATGTGAAAACTTCGGGAAAAGTCGTATATATATATATATATATATATATATATATATATAACGTATGCAACTTATGCTGACAGACATAAGTACTATGTAGCAGCAATCTGAAGTGGAATACCTGGCAGCAGAAGATTGAATTGAAAAGAACAGGAATGTAAACCGAGAGCAATTGTAATAACAACAGAATTTAAAAAATCATGAAGAATGTAAAGGACAACTAAAGGAGGATGTGCAAATAACGTATTTAATGTACGGTTTTCATATTTAATGAAAGCACGCTGTAAAGAGATACTACTGAAAATTAAAAGAAATCTACTTGTATACTATTTTGACAAGTTATAAGTAACTTCACAATCTACTCACTTATAGAACCAAATCAAATAAAGAATCACTAATGCAATTGTCACTCCAGAAATATGAAATGATATCGTCTGACCTATGACTGAAGATTTATTGTTTAGTAAAAATAAAACTCTTAATATACATATTACATAAACATTGGTACAAGAGGGCACCAAATACATATGGGCCACACAGTTATCATTGATTTCCGTGAAACCTGCCCGGGTGCTCAAACCGACAATAACAATGAAAAATAATTGTAAAATTTATTTTAACTGCCCTAAAATTATTCCAACTACCATAACAGTACAAGTCAAAAATTGATATAGAAAGTTTGCATTTATTTTAGTTATCACTTGACAGTTTTAAAATGTTGATTTCTAATCTAATTAGTTGAGAATATAAGACTTACAAAATATCAAGGAACTTCCTCTTTGTAATTGACACTATAAGGAGAAACATACCTTCAAATGGGAGACCCATTCGTTTAAGTGCTTCAATTAATTGTGGCTGGGCAATTAGTTCAAAGTCTGAATGATTTCGCTCAGCAGCAGAAGAGTTTGATTTAACAGACTGAAATTTAGAATCTAAAAGACCAGCTGACCAAACAGACTCTAAAAGCCGAACAACTAAAGGACAATGTTGACCAGAATAAACATATGTAGGTGAAATAACTGTACGATCAACATGTCGATTGGCCTGATTCCAATTGCTCAACTGTAACAAATGATGTAGATAACTGAGAGGAATAAAAATATTAAAAAAATATTTATTTGATTAAATTATCAATGTACCATAGACTAATTTATTAAAAAATGGGAAATAATAACCTTGGTATACTCATTAGATAGGAAGATTTGAAAAAAATTTATCGTATAACTAAAATTAGTTACGTAATTTAGTTGCATAAACAGTATTAAATTCGGAAGAGAAAAATTCTGTGTACCAAGTTGTGATTGGTTGCTGAGTGAAGACATATATCCGTTTGTACTAAACACAAAGACCATTTTTATACATCAAAAGGTTGGCTTTTACACGGGTTTCACTGTGTTGATTACTTGTAAATTATGTTAATAAACTATTGTCTACTTTAATCTGGTTCGCAATGGTTGGTTGGATATTGAATGTCTGAGTCACGCATCTCATAAAATACTGAGACCGATAGAGTTGCTGAGTTCTCTGAACTAGTTAGTTTAATTGTTGGTCTAGTCCCTTGATCAGTATTACACCGTATTATCTAGTGTCCTAGAGATAGGATCGCAAGAGCAAACGGTGGTTTATTCTGTTGTACGCTAATCACAATCTTCATCAAAATATCTCAGTTGATAATGTACATTTGAAGGCTTGCATGTTTTCGCAGAGGTGGGACACCATCAACACTATCCTTCAGACAAAGAAATAAGATGTAATAACTAAAAACTAGATAACCTGATCTATTTTCAACAGACAGAAAAAAATTAAAACTTGAATAAGTTAAAATGAGAACATGAGAAGGCGAAAAAATACAAATAGTATGTAAACTATCGTAAGTGCAATAAAAAATAAAAAAAACATCTGTACTATGACTGATGCGTATATAGCCTCTGCAAGGGAAGTCCTACTCACTGCCTTCACGTGGCCGGGGTGTTGTTTACGAAAATGAGAGGACGAAAAGCGAATGTCCGGCGCTTTAACCGGATCCCAAACCAATGCTGCACATGGGCTCCAGTATCCTGAAGGGACAAATGGCGTATGAACCAATCGTTGGTCATCGGCTACCATGGGACTGCATCTCCTCACGATGCTCCACTGCCTTGTGTGTCAGACATTCAGATCGAAGGCTCGGGGTGTGGCCCCCTAAGAAAACCACCTGCTTCGGTTTGGGCATCCGGGCATTATCACAGCCCTCACACAAATCAAATGAGATCTGTGTGGCGCATATGTATTTGGTGCCTCCTTGTTATTAGGAAGGAGGGTTAGTGCAGATTGTTATTTAAACGAAATTAGTCTAAGGTTTGAAGTATTTTAAAACTGAACAGTTTTAGCAAACCTCAAATTAGAATATCAGTATTGTTCTATGCTTAAATTTGATGTGGTTATTTAGCTTTTACTGTCACTTTGAGATAGGATAACATAAAAAACCTTTAGTTTAGTCAACTTATTATTTGATTTGCTAGGATGAAAGTCAATCAGGAGCCATTTACGGTTCTAAGCTCAATGGAAAATGATGAACAACTGAATAGGAAAACCGTTTGTTCCCTTCCCTACACGCTGATGATTAATGAGATAACCTTTTGGTTCAACTAAGCCAGAGATATTTACTGAGGACATTGGGTGATGGAAACGACACATTGCTAATTGACAGAAGTTGAAGAGTATGAGGGGAATGTCTGAATAGTGACTGATTCCTCTAAAGTTGTCATGACTCATCATTTGTCTTCTGAGTGAGGAAAAACGAATAACAATTTCATATTACTACTTATTCATCAGATACGACAAATATTGAACCAATCCAACCCATTTAGAGTATTGAGATTTAAAAAATCTTACTTGTAACGAGATTTTTGTCGTTGTGTTAATTTTAGCTTGGCAACAGTATGAGTTAGTGCATGGGTGGACTTTTTTGTCAAGTTATTTGTTTGCACCACAAACATGCTTGATTGTGGGTCAGTTGGATGATTGTTTGTAATAGATGTTTTTGCAGATGATATTTCTGGGAGTTTAGAACGAGGATATAATAACCCAAGTGAGGATAATGCTTCAAGCATAGGAAAGGTGATTTGACCAGCAGCATGTATTATGGCACGACTCATTACCTCGTACAATTCATCACCTAAGCCATCATGTAAAACACAGTTCAATGCAACCAGACGGAGCCCGTCAATTAGATGATCACCATGGCTAAAAAGGGTCACATAAAAGTCAGTAAACCTGAAGCAAACGGATATATATTGTGAACATTAGACAATTAGAAACAATCTTATAAAGCAGATCAATTAAGTCCAGAAGTAGATGGCACATTAGAAAATAAACAAGAAAGTGTATTCACAATGGACGACTATGAATAATAATGCGAACTGTGTCTAAGCTTAAGAGTGAAAACTTCAGAAGTGATTTAAGACAATTAAGTAAATAATTATGATACGAAAAATTGATAAAGAGAAAAACATATTATTCGAGGTTATATTGTGCACTTGCTAAATCGTTTCTATGTAGAGATTGGGATAATTAAAGATTGTGTAAAGGATAACAATCCGTTGGTTAAAATACACAAATATACCGGACCATATCAAAAGATTGATCAAAAAAATCTTCAAACAGTTAAAAGTCAAATCAGAGACAAGTCAACTTTTGAAAGAACTAAAATCAGTCATTGACATCTTTTTGTGGTTTATTTTATATCCCAAATCATGCACTACATCACAGTTTTGTAGTTTACCCAAAATCCATAAATCAGACATCACATTAAAACCTATAGTGGACTTTACGAGCACGGCTGTGTATTATCTAAATATCTGAGCAGCATATTGAAGCCACTAAAGATTCCTATGAAATTAAGTCAGAAATATTAGAATCAATTATCGAAAAAAATGAAACCATGGTGAGCTATGGATTTGCATTATTATACGTTAGAACTCCTATTGATATATGACTAGACTTTATTAGTGGTTTACCAGAGAATGCTAATACTTTATCTGCCAGATGTCATCAGTCTAACCATGAAATCCCTAAAACCGTGCTTAAATTCGACCTTATTTACATTCTACAGGACATTATAAAAGTAAACAAACGGAGTGGCAATGAGATCCCCACGTGTCCACGATTGTACCCAACCTGCTTATGTCACATATGGAATCAAATATCTTCACCAATGACATCAAATCACAAACTTGGCTCAGATATGTGGATGATACTTTTGTTGCCATTAAAGACCTCCTTACGAACTTTTTCTAAACTGATCAATGCACTTTCGTCCTACATTAAATTTGCTTACGAAGATGAAAATGAACAGAGATATTCGTTGGTGTAGGATTTTAGACGGAAGCGGAACTCCTGAGAGTTTATGAAAAAGTGACTTCCTGAAATTTCATAATACAAGACAGTCGTGGAAATTCGGGTGATTTTTATATAAAATATATACGCGAAAGGAAGCGTCACCCTCAGAGACCAACAACTTTTCAAGCTACACGAGGGTTTATTTCGAGATAAATTCTTTATCCATAGGCCTAAACAGCCTGTTCGTAGTACATGTGAATCGGATATATTTTTAAGGCTGATAGAAGACATATTCAGTCATTTTGTCTGTTATTCAAGGACCGCTTATCCAAACACATTCAAATGTTTCTTTTGAATAGACTAAAACTATGAAACGTGATGAATCCAACAAACTCTTTGGACGGGAAAACGATGTCTATATCTCCGATCCATTTTCAGTGGCGTTACAACACACTATCCTGCTATTCACTATCACTATGTGAGTCTACGATTACTTTCATTATATGCACTATTACTTTGATAATATGCATACATCGTTGATAGTTAACATTTTCATTATTGAATAGTTAGCTCAGTAACATAGATGTTAAATACCATTATCTTAACTGATTACTAATCAGTGTTAGATACTTTGAGAACTGTTTTTTCCAGATATATCAGCCGACTGTTCATACGAATTAAACCACCCAATAAAAAGTGGTACTATCCACGATACTTAACCAATCAAATTGAGAAAAAGGGTGGGTACTAATGAAACAGTGACTATATATGTCTTGAAAGTATAAATAAACTTATATTACAAAATACATTGGAGTAAGACAATATGTACAATAATTATAAAAACAGTGCTTTAGTGTCAAAAAGCATTAAACTTCCAATAATCGTATCACGCTCCATTTATTTCGACTTAGACACACGAAAAACGTAGCTCAAAGTCAAAAGATTTATAAGAATTAATTCAAAATCAACATATATGATGTAGTGGAAAGGTAAAGATAATATTTGCACTAATTTTTTGAATGATACAGGTCCGATTACTGAACCTGAATTTTAATTGTTATTACAGTTGGGATGATTTAGTATACAGGTAATTTATATACGCTGTATATAACTCGGTATGGTTAGCTTATGTTGTACTTGGACTTTGGGGGTTAATAATATTACAACGGGGTTAATGTCAAACTACCTACAGTCATTCATAAACTTTAATTCGAACTGAGATACTATCTCAAGTCAGAAAAGACGAATTCCAAAGACCAACGTTAATAAAATATTATGATTGACTGGATATATAAAGGTAACTAAATGAAGCTATTGTAAGCAATTTATTCCTTTATCGCAATGTTATAAACTGGATGTGCTGATAGCATCAACTGAAACTACTCAACATGAGCATTCAAATAGATATAAGTTTAATCTCTACCTTGCCAGAGCCCGAGTGCTGGGGATGTAAACCATCATGGGACCACCTACTTACCGACTCGTTAGCTATTCTTATTTCGCAAATCTGAGTCTATTTTGTACAACCAAAACTACCTCTAGGATCTATCTTTCATTTTATTGCCTTTAAGGATACCATTTTTTTACTGGTCCGTGGCTCATTCAGTGTGCTAAATTTTCGCCCTATTTCTAAAGTCTTTTATGCGTATGCGTTGTTTACTGAAAAGAATTTTCTTTGATCAATGCCAATAAATTTCGGAGTAACTGGAGTTAAAAAAGAAAAGGGGGTTGTAACATTCAAGTTTCAAAACGAAGTTTGGAGTTATTGTCATTCGCTCAAGATAAATCACCCGTATAGGCTTATCTAATCATTTATTATTCACACATTAGGAAATCACCCAACTGGCTTAGGTAACCGAATTCGATGTTTACCATATAATGTGTATGTGAGCATTCGAAGCTAAATATCAATAAAATTAATTACCAAAAATCTGTTTGTGAATGTACAACATACCTCTATAACCGCATGTAAGTTCATGCTATAGAGTGTTGATGAATTAATTCAATTATGAATTATAGTGAATAATTGACACCACTAAACAAAGTTATTATTTTTATCGAACTTTTATGAAGTTTTACAGCTACACTACATCGTGTATCTCACCAACAAGATTGTAAAAAATAAACATGAATTATATAGGAAATCCGAAGAGAAAAAACAAATGACACACGTCAACAAACATTTGAAACCTTAAAATCATGATTACCTCATCAAACGTTAGGTAGAAATTTTGTGCACAATCAAGATGGTAGAAAATAAAGACTTCCTAAGGTGATTTATCAAACAAGCTACAGACAATAAATTAACAAAAATCGTTGAAGGTTTAGCTTGATTATGGTTCAAGTTATAAATGATCAACGCAGTATCTTGAGTTAGCATTTACAGCTATTTATATCGAACATATGATTCAGGGAATCACATCGATAGATACAACGGAATTATTTATACCAAACAAAAAATCAACCACTAAGTGAAGCTTATTATCATGGAACTTCGTAAAAATCCATTAAACCGTTTATTCCCTTATACATTGTGTATATCATACGTGAAATACCTCTTTTCTCAACTATTGAACAAGTTTGATAAAGCCAGAGAGCATTGGGATTCCCTTGAGAACACCATCAATAAATAAATTCAGTATCCTATTGATTTTCATCTATGTAGGTTTAAATCTAAACAACATTTCTTTTCAAAACCGAACTGTAAGAAACTAATTGAATAATACAAACTATTGTAAAAGTAATAACAAATGTTGACAAATTTAAGTTTTTGACGAAGAACTTCGAACAATTTACAGATTTCAACTCACTGTGTAGTCAACCATTCGATAGCTAAACGCATAGGTAAAGAATTCAAAATATCCGCTAAATTACCACATGAACCACCAATTGAAACTGGAGTAAATTTTCGGTTACGATCAGGAGCATTAGAGTCACCATCATCGTTTTCATCATCAATAGAGGGAATTCCAACTTGACCAATTGCAAGAGATCCCCCGCTACCGGATTGTAATAATAAACTTTGTGCTGTACGTAGATCTTCCACACGTTCTTTAAGTGTCATTGCACATAATACTTGTTCTAAACATGCTAACAGAAATGACAATTCGCGTCTTTTAGCTAAAAATGGACCTAAACGTGTACTAATATTCCGAAAATTACAGGTGTTATTAATAGTACTAGTAGTCTGAATTGAGTTTGAACTAGAATGCTGTTTATGCTGAACAGCAGATTTTTGACTAACCAACTGCATCTCTAAATCACCACGTGAATCTTGAAGTTTACCACGCCAATCCAGAAGTAATGAATGAACACGAGATATATGGACATCTCTAATATCCTTCAAAAAACGAAATGAATAAAAAGTTATTTTCAGATGAATATTCACAACATTTAACCCAGGTAGAATCATTATCAGAAAAATCTACGGAAATATATCATACTGATTCAACTATATCACTGGGGCAATATAAGTATAACTATGGTCAGTCATTTGAGTTAACTGTTTTTTATGTTACGCAAATAGATATTGAGTTTTAGTGAAGACGTCCGAAACTTAATAAGTTAGTATGAAGTGATTTAAACATGGAAAAGTTATTTGTATGAAATGACTAGGCTTTTTATTGTCATTTATATGGGACCAGTAGATAAATAAGAATATATAGTAGCTATATACCGGTACAAAATCTGTCTTGTAGGAAAAATTAGATATTTCTGCACAAAGTTGATGCTCACTAATTGTATTTTGTAAATACGAATTATTCTAAAGTGATCCAAAGTGTACTAAATCGATGTCAACAAATTTATTCATACGGTTACTTTATTATAATTGGGTTAGTCAAAAGAATGATGTACAGAAAAATGGTAATTATTGTAATTATACCCTATTATTCATAAACTCAACTTTTTGCTTAATACCGATAACAATAAGAGAAGAAGGTATCACACTAAGTGCAGTCTTCACATACAACTAAATAGTCCAAACAAGTAAATAAGGTCGATTATGTTAGCATAATTCAAATTGGTATTGTAAGGTGTAAAAATTTGTAGCTTCATAGATCCTTAACTAAACAATGTCTGAACATGAATGATAAATGTACAGGCACGAAGTTCTGTCAAAAGCATACTTCGTAAAATTAAAAATTAGGAACGACATATAATGAAGCATGTAGCAAACTAACTACCCAGAAATAATCGTTATATTATTCATGAAATACTGATAAATCAAGGTATGAATGAATAATTAAAACACATTTTAGCAATAAGCAAAATGGAATAAAAATGCTATCTAGGAACTTAGATTATGAGTGATTAGACGAAATACATGAAATCACAGAACGTAAACACTGAACGCAATCACTGGTGAGTTACTCTTTTACTTGTAATGCTCTTGATTTTACAAGTCACTGTTTCCCTCCAGGACGTTAAGAAAAATACATTGACGTTATGTACTAGTGAGAACACCATTATTAGTGAGTAAAGTGGTTTTAGGGTACATTTTCTATATTTTTGAGATCATTTTCATCTTGAACTCTTGATAATTCAGTGACCCTGTGTGGTTGAATCAGCTACAAAACATAAAGGACCTCAGCTTGATCCTCTTGCAATGTATGTGCAATAAAGAACCTGGAACTAGAACGAAATAGTTGTCTAGTGCTTCATACTTTTCAGAAGATTTACCATTAACATTAACGTGTGAAGAAAATTACCTTCGAATTAAACAAAACACAATTACTTAATAAGAAAATACGCGTGGATTTTTTTTATTGAATTCTGTATCTTCTGTTTTTGCTTATACTCTATTATCCTTTTTTGGTATTGTTGTTAACTGGATAATGGAACTATTTCCAAGGTTATACTTTGATCGTCTTAATCAGTAAGAGATGGAAAAGTTTAAGATTAGAAACCATATTCTTTACTTTACAATAATAAATTATAACGTCATTCAACGATCACAGAATGAGACTAAAAGTTTTTTGATATCGCTATATTTCAGTAAATTTTTCTTGTTTAAAGCTGTATATTAGTTTTCATAAGCTTTAAATGCTCACAAAAACCTACACGAATATTACAAAGCAGTTTTTATCATGGATCAGCATAAACTGGCGAAACCAGATAGCTGTTTAATTTGAGGTTTATGAGTCTACAGTAATGTATACCTGAGATTAGAAAGAAATCTAAATTACATGATCTTTAGATCTGGCGGTGAACATTTCAACTTTAGATTACAACGAGAAGTCTTTTCGAAATTAAGTCAATTCACGATATAGTGCAATTATCATGACAAATAAAAAGTGTCAGGGACTGTGATGAACATTAAATAAATCAACTCAGTCTTCTTATTAGCACATATATATTTGGTGCCCCCCTGTACCAATATTTATTTATGTGTTCTTATTAGCACAAATTCGCAAGTATTAGAGTTGATTAAATGTTCAATTATGAATTTCAAATGAACATCATGTAATACACAATCTTAGTGTAATAATAATGAAATTGTGTTCAAAAATTACTTTGTAGTAGTGTAGTTTTGTGCTATCAAGAATTTGTTTCTGTGGTGTCGATTCATCAGCACATTCTGGTGGTAATTCAACTTGACCTAAAATTCGAATTTAAAAAAGTCAAAGATAGACATAAGAATGCTGTGATTAGGTTCTAATTGATATAAAACGTAGCAAAATGAGAATTTATGTACGAAGGAAATAGTAGTAGTTAAAAAGCAGTCTCAGTGTGCTAATGAACTACATAGAATACTTAGAATTGTTCTTGTCTACTATGGAGAACTAACGCTTACTTCGTTCGAACTAAATACTTTTATTATCAATGGATTACGAGATGCGAAACTAGTCATGTGACTAGCATATTACTAATGAGCCAGTTGATCGAAATTTACTAATAAGAATATTCTTACACTCATAAAATTTAAATAGACAACAATTCGCCAGTGTTACTAGTTAGCCAAATGGATCACAGTATCTTTACAGGACTTTATTAATCCTATTTTTAATGCATATAAATCAAACCCATGACGTTTGCTTAAGACTATTTTAAAAACTTAATATTAAAGGTCTCTTTAATGAACAGGTTGAAAGTGGGATTCCATAACGCAGTGTATCACTCTTGAGGATTAAAATGTATCTATAGATATCAAACAAATTAGTGCTATTTGTGGTAATGATTTAATGAAGCAAAAATTGTGTGAAATAACAACTTTAACTTAATCCGCCTTGATAGACAGAACACTAAATAATGCACCAATTTTCCATTTGTTGACAAGTTTGAAACAAGAGTTAACTCTCTTTAGTTTATTTGGATTATATGAGCAAAATTCCAGTTGCAATCACAGGTTATCTTCATAACATTAATGATACAAGTACATAATGCATTCAGGAGAATGGAGCATCATAGAACATCAACTAACCGTGATGTATTAATAGTTCAGGTTGATTAGAAGATCAACAGGTATAAAATCAATATTTAAAAAGCTTAAATAAAAAAGAAAATCAATAAGTATGACTAAAGAATCCTATTAGTTTTTCTGAGCTACGGCAATAGTTAAGAATAACGTGAATAATTCGTATACAAACAAGCTAGAAGAAAAATACCTGAATGAATAACTATCAAAAATTTTACATCATATTTATTTTTCTAACAGTTGAAAAAGTGAACTATTACGAAAATTATTATCAGGTACGTTTGGCTAGGCTATATCAAAGTCAAATGAAGGTGAGGAGTGAAGGTATTTGAATTCAAATATGATGACTTGATGTTCATTTCAAACCAAAAACTAAACAAGTAGGTTTGGAAGGTTATCAAAACCCTAGTTTTATCAATACAAATGCAGCTGAACTAATAAAATAACGACCTTGCACTACGATTTCTCGTGCTAGGACAAACAGAGAATGCACAAGGATATAGAATAATCCAGAAGAATCAATAAGGATTGATAAGTGATAGCAGCAATAAATGGGAGCAGAGCAAACAACTGTAAAATACTTCACGTTCTGATCATAATGGATAAAATAATTAACATTTATTATTCGTCAGGGTACCTTTAAAAAACTGGAACGTTCAGCCAAAAGCGAATTCATAGTATTGAATAAGAAATTTAAGACACCAACTTACGTAAACAAATCAAAAACTGAAAAGGTTTATCATCGACAATATGTTCAAATAACAAAAGAATCCCAATGATGAGTGAACAAAGCATGTTTAACTAGGAAAGTTAGATAGGTCTACTTAAAAGAATTACTACGAAATAAGCTAAGATTCAATAGTCTGGAAGTATTTCGAGCAACATTTTCTTTTGGAAACATGGGTAACAATTCCGATGGAATAGTCAAGCCAAGATAAATATTTTGTAAGCTGCAGTTATAAATATGTACACAAGAATACCACGTACAACTGTGCACATCATAGTTAGACTGTAAAAGTTCTATGATAAAAGATTAGATATTCAAAATGATGAAACCTATTAGTGAAGAAGAAATATTTAATTGAGTATGCAAAAATAAAAACTACACGTTAATGTACCTAATTCTATCCCAACAACTTCGTGAATCAGAGCTTCAAATGTCATTGGAACCAAAAGGGGAGTTACGTAATCCAGATCTATGGGATCAAATAGAAATAAAATTTACAATCAGATAATCTTCGTAACAAGAAAGATTTGTGCATGAACTGTGGATTGAACTATCCGAAGAATACAGTAATAATATTTTACACTACGTAAATAGTAATATATATTCTCAGTGTCAGTTTATTTCAAGAATACTGAGGTTGAACTTACGCTATTCGATTCTGAAAAGTATTTTTAGTATAATAATAATGTGATCCTTTTATAACCTATTTTTTTCACTGATTATTGAAAAAGGCAAAAATGTTATGTCCCATAGTAACAGTCAGACATGTTTTACCAATAATATCGTTAATGTACAAAAGTTAAGTTAATATTAAATAATCCACTGAATTTTGGGCCAAATTGCGAAGACAACTCCCATGATTTACAATACAACTGATATAGATTTTCAGTAGCAAAGCAGCAGTTCATCGACTAAAGCTTCTAAACTTCAACGCAATAGTTTAAATCATCATCCCACTCACTTTTCGATTTAATCCGCTAAAAGAGTGAGATTTCAAACTAGAATAGAAACTAATACCTACTACCAATCAGATGGATAGTACTAAGGCTTGAAGTGATGGATATTAGGATACAGTATTATTGCAAACACTAAAAAATGGTGTGATACATATTGATAAAATGGCTAAACTTATACATGACGGAATAGAAGCTGAAGATGAGAATACCAGCCGTTACCTTGAATCAACATTACGTGGTTAGTATTATAGTACCGAAAAACTAAGCTCAAAGTCTTAAAGCATGAGCCGATTAGGTTGCATTTATTTACTTACTATTACTTTTTCAGTCGTCTTGATAGAAATTTATTTTTAAAGTATAATTTTGTCTCTATTGTTTACAATGAAAACAACCGTTACAAGTTGTATTTTATGAAACCATCAGTTTTAGCTGGAAGAGCCTATTAGGCATTCGTAAACCTCAACGTTTTTATATTATGAACTGAGATAATCTGAAAAACCACTAGAAACCAAAAAGCACAGACACTGAGATTTTTCAACAGTAAAAAATACAGAGAACAAGAATGACAATAAAATGAGTATGTAAGGAACACAAACAAAATGCAATATGATATCAGGAAAGAAAAACAAAAAAAATCATATTTTCAAACTATTGATCCTTAACATCTCAATTGAGAACTCAAGTCATACAATTCACGATAATATTCGGTAACCTTATGAATTAGTGTTGTTTTGGTTTAGCTATCCTGAGATGTTGTTATTATAAAAAAATTAGCAATGGGTAGGATCCTTTAAAGTTGTACGTAATCGTATCCTCATAGCATTTCTTGCCAATCAGATCGTCTTCTTGAAAGCGAAAAAGAACACCCATTATACATACCGTTTGAATACTGGCTTTAAAACGCCGTTTAGTAATTTATTTCGCAAAAAAAGGTTCACAGTGTTTAGACTCTATGACAATGTAAATAATGATTAATTTTCCGTATTATTTTTAAAAGAATCACAAAAAGGAATGTATGAAAACTAACCACGACTGAATACAAGAACCAAAGGTGGTAGACGTGCAGAAGTAGTTGACAATGACGTGGATGATGATTGTGAGCCCACAATTTTCAATGAGTTGGTGGGAGTTAAAACACTTTCATCAGAAACTGATACATTACTTCGATAATTTGACTGGGTATAATTAATAGTTGAAACCTTCCTATCCAAACTGACCAGACCTGACTGGATACAGTACAAACGAATACCAGCAGCAACAACATGGGACGCCTCTCCGAAAGCATGAATCTAGTGGTTAGTAAAGATAAGCACTAAGGTTAATAAAACCTATCTACCTTTACTGTTGAACAACTGTTATGATAGATGTTTAGTTGAAAACAAGAGGGAACAATGACTTGACGATGGTAAAGGATTACAAGAATGGAGACAAGTTATGATATAGAATCAAGGATATGTAATAATCAAATGTTTACTACTCAGAGTAAGGAAAGGGAGTACATTTACACTAATGCAACATTTTAAGTCATGCTCTCCAAACTATGACCTATAACAATAAAGTTCATTTCAACCTACGCTATCATTAATAGTCTAGTTACTTATTAAAAATTTTTTACAAATACATTACGTTATAAATTTACAATAAAAACTCAATTTCTAATCTTCAAAAAGCTGTGATTTATATATATTGATCAAATTTACGTGTTAATTGAAACCAAAACTTAGCAGAGTGAAAAACTCTACCTACGAATTTAAATGTCAGAAGTGAATATTCTACCAGATATGAACTCAATACTATTGAAGTACGAGTGATTTGGGTTAAAGTGATAGAATGAAAGACTTAAAATCAGCAAACGAAACAAAATTTCGGTTACAATAATGTTCACATAGACACTTTATGATGTAGGAGGGTGCTGGGTTTGAAGCTATCACGAGTTCACTTAATCTGCGAACGAGAACAAGACTCGATGACCAAAGACCAGTAAGCTAGCTATTGATGCGTCCCAGCCCCGCTATCTAGAGGGAGAAATCCAAGCTTAGAATGGGAAGTATATCCTGCAAACAACCAGAAAACGAGCGATCTCAACAAACACAATTTAAAACGTATATATATAGAGCTTTTAAACATTTAATCGATAAGTTCGTCAATCGACTATGTGCGCGGGTGGTAAGAAATGCCCACGCATACATCGGCATACAAGCTCCACAAGACAAAATTACAAACTATGAGTTTTTGGGGATCTATCGTCCCCAACAGAGGGTGAGATGAAACAAAATTTAGAAAGTAATGTAGATAAATCCAAGAATAATTTGACTACTAAATCATTGTTCATGTAGTTAACAACTAAAGAATCCCATTAGGATGGTGCATTACTTATTTTCAGGAATTCAAAAAACCACATTACACCAGTCAAACAAGGAATTAAAAAAGCGATGATAAAAACCAGGTCTAAAAATTGTGTGATTGCTTTGAAACGACTATGGACAATAATATCTCCAAAAGCGTTAATTAAGTCATAGTGTAAAATTATATCATATGAAATAACAAAATTAGCCCCGAAAAAGGTCAAAGACCATTAGAAATACAAACAATGTTAATGCAACAAAGCATCGTAATCTGATGAAATGAAAAATACGTTTAATCACAAAAGCGGCATCAAAAGACTAACATAAGAATTAAACAAACATACTAGTCTCTGGTTTTGCACAACTAATTTGTTTGTGAGCTACATGAAAGGTCCGTTTGTACAATCATACTATGTAAATGCCTATTATAGGTAAAACACTACGATGACAACAAGATATTTTCATTTTACCTAAGAGTAATCTATCATTAATGTACGTGTAAATAATATTATAGACTTACTCGACAACCCATGGGAGCTAAATCACTTTCACTTGTTAATTTAAGCAAACGTCCCAACTCCATGCCCATATAATGAGGCCAACAATAATCTTTGTATAAATAGTAGTCAGAAAATAGCGTCGGCAAATTTAATGTTAACAAATCTCTATCTAATTGAATCCAACTAAGTGATAAACTTGTGGTACATAAATGTCGACCAAGAAAACCTCGAGATTCCAAAAGATAGGTCACTGCTACGGTCTAAAAGACGAAAGCGCTTGTTAAAATTAAAACGGGATATTTAAATTAGAATACATGGAATGGTAGTATCTTATGCTTAATTTTCACCAAATTTAGGTTAGAATTAAACTTGAAGTTTAGACTAATAGTTTCCTTAAATTATAATGTGACTACACATAGACATTCATGTAGTAGACTATATTTTCTTAGTAATAATCACTTAACATTTACGAGGATTAAATAATATTAAATAACATCTTAATTTTGTTGGGATTGGTTACTAGTAAATAGTTTAAAGCACCTAGAGCATGTGAACCATGTGAACACCATACGTGATCACTTCATTTTGTTTCCCTTATTGTTAGTAGCATACATCTAGTTGACACATCGGGAGCAAACCATGATAAGACGGAAATAACAAGGGAAGTAAATACTTTTTCCTTGATCAAATGTGAGAGGTAGATTTGGTTTGCTGTGCATAAGTTTACTGCATGTTTGGCACTCGATCAGTTTTCTTTCTTTTTTAATAACTCATTTTCTTCCATTAGAGAAGAATAACGTATTTGTAAAATCTCAGCGAATAAATTTGAAGCAAATCTAACGTTTCGCCTGGCAATCTAGTTCAAGGTTTTTCAAGCAAATATCATCAAATATCAGAATTATCAAATATAAATAAATACATGGTTCTCTGGTAAACTGTTTATCAAATAGGTCATCCAATCAACGTTAACAATGCTTAAAGTTGGCATTCTCTTAAGTGTGTAAGAGACATGTGATGTGAACCGAAAAGTGTTAGGATAACAGATTAGTCTATTTGTAAGTAGTGTGAGAAGAAATTTTACTCACTATATATTGCCTTTGATCGGTGAAAATATACAAGTCTTATATATGATATGAATCAAATATGTCATAGCACATATAAAATGAAGATAAATAAACAAAATAAAAGAATGAATTGAAGAGGAAGGTGTATTTGTAAATGAAGTTTTGCGTTATTTTCATCGTTCCAGTTAATTGTTTAACATATTCAAATAAGACAACTGATTAGAAACGTTGAATGTAGTTGCTGTTATTCAGAGGATGAGGTAGAGAAAATGGAATAAGGAGTTCAGGTTTACTTATCAATTATTAGTTGCCATGGTACAGCTAATTGTATTCCATCTCCCCTATTAATCCTGTTTGGATTTGCCCATATGTGTAGGGCTTCGGCTGTTAGTCTTTCTTTGTAAGAGTTAAAACCTTTTAGACAAATTCTTGTGCCGTTGAAAATAATTGTATGACCCGATTTTATTGAGTGTAATGCTATCGCTGATTTGTTTTCTAGTTTTTTTACATCATTTAAGGATTTAGGAGTGTGTTTTTAGCATAGTTTGTGTTCCTTCACACTTATATTCAGTTGTCTTGATGTTTCATATACACATGTGGCATTACAGTCACTACATTTGATTTCATAAAATAATTTTGTTGTTCCTCCTTGTGTATTGGATATTTGATTCTTACTAGTTTTGATCTTAGAGTACTATTTGTTCGAAAGAATACTCTTATATTTTGAAGAGTTAGGATCCTTCTGATCTCCTCTGAAATACCTTTACGATATGGGATAACCACTGTGCTAACCTATTCTTTTTGTTTAAACCTTGGTTTTACTGTCGTTTTGGTCTTCGTTCTTAATTATTCTTGTTACGAAATCCCTCGGATAATTATTCATAATCAACATAGATATAATTAAATTCATTTCAGTTACTATATCATTTGGTTCATTGACGAGTTTTTGAACTCTGGTTATCAAATTCTTGACCATTGTCAATTTGGTGGAGTGAGGATGTGCTGACTTATAATCTAGAAATCTCCCTGAATATTTTGGCTTTCGGAATACACTAATTTTTAAACAATCGTTATGTTTCCTCTCAACCAAACAGTCTAGAAAAGGTCATTCGCGTTCAAAGGATTCCAACTCCTTAGTAAACTTGACTTTGTCAGAAATGCTGTTGACTTGCCTAAACAGTTCTTTTAAACCATCTCATTTTATGATGATAAAAGTGTCATCTACGTATCTTAACCAGACTTTTGGTGGAAGGGGGTACATTGAAATCGCATTTGTTTTCAATGTATGCATAGATAAGTTAGCAACAATTGGAGAAACCGGTGGTCCCATAGCCACAAATTTTGTTTGTCTGTACAGATCTCATCCAAAATCGAAAACAATTGAATGTAAACATAGATCCAGCACTTTAATATAATCTTAGGGACCTAGTGGACATCGCTAAGTTCAATGTCAGAACCTAAGAGATTATAGACAAGATCTAAAACTTTCTTAATAGGAACGCTAGTGAACAAAGAGCATACATCAAAACTTGCCATTAATTCATCTATGCGGATAGTGATAATGTTTTCCAACTGTTTAATTTATTTTTTATTTAGCGATCAGTCTCAGCTTAATCGTTTCGTTCGATTTTTAGGGATATGTTTTTCATCCCGATAATTCCTTACACAAGGAATGAATAATATGGTTAATAACTGATTCATAAGGTATTTGCGTATGAGCTACACGAAGTATAAAGGGTAATAATATTACTCAGTTGCCCAAACCGAAGTTGGTGGAGAAGGGTTCAAACTTGCGACTTTGTGGCTGAAAGCTGTAACTTTTATCCACTGTTAGGTTTTGCTAACTTAGTTAAAACTCTCGTCCAGTGATAGATATCTACGTGACTCAAATATGAAACTACCAGTTTCATGGATTAACAGACTTGGGTTGAAAATCAGCTATCGATCATGATGAAGTGCATGAACCTGAAGCCTAATTATATAAAATTAACGATGATATCTAAAATTATGTTTGTCGATAGTAGCATAAAAGTAAAACATTGTGATGTAGAGGAACTGAATTCCTTTGGCTTTAAGCAATTAACCACAAAAAAGTTAGATACCTCTTTGGGGACAAAGATTATCAACCTCGTTCGTTTGATATTCTCTGATTGATCCACTTCACAATGTTTAATTACCGATAAGCATGAGCTAAACTCTGGCGGGACCATATAAGCGATCCTAAATCGGATAAAAAATTTTATAATGGTGAAACTGTAAGACAGAAGCATATAGAACTCGTTTAAATTTCAGTCCCTAAGATGACAAGGAGATAAGTACCTGAGATATTCTATGCACCTGTGAATTAACAAGACTTGATTTTGAGAACAATGTTAATCTGTTAACGAATAGAATAATCATTATGACATGGAAATAAACTTGGTACTGAGGTGATAATTTGATACGTAGTTCATGGACAGGGCGATGTGAAATGGAGTCTTTGTCTTCACCTTAGCTGGTCTGTTCTGATGAGTAATTATACTACGAGTAAACTTTGAAGTTTTAACATCAAGATAGAATATTTAATTGACTGAACGAATTTTGAGAGCACATTGGTCCCCGTAGCGGACCGAAGTAGTGTTATGTTCACAATTAGTCAGAGGTTGATGCGTGGTTGCAATTCCATTAAAGGTTAGTTAACAGTTTAATACGATGGAATTTATCATCAGATTTGGTTGGCGAATTTCCCAGAAAGAAAGAAAATGTAGATGAAGACAATAGGTTATAATGAGTCATTGGAGAAAGCTTACTGCTAAACTTGCTAGCATTTAACATAAACTATCTAGTCACAAATCTGATCGACAAGCACTTAGGTGTTTCGAGATCCTGTTCTTCAGCATCGGAAATGAGAGCCTTTCGTTTTTAGTCATATCCTAAGTCAGTCAATAATGTACTACGCAGGGCATGCCAGAAATATGTATCAGCTCAATCTGATAAGCCATTTCCTTGCTTAAACAACCATGGTAATACAGCTGGTTCGAAATACTACAGGAAAGCTATGTTATCTAACAAAACAAATACACCTTGAAGAAAGCTAGCTTACCTCTCATAGTCCGCCTTCGGAGGACTTTCAGCAATTTTGAACACATTCGTGACCGACAACTGTCTTAAAATGGACATGCTGGCCACACGGTCGATTGCTTTCAACAACTGCGCATCCACAAGAAGAATCTTCTGCCCTGGCAACTACAATCTAATCATCATGAGTTGAAAGTTACTTTACCAGAGAAAAGACCCTTGCGAACTCTCTTAGAACAGACTGACGTAAGTGTTCAGTTGTGAATGTCATTTAAGCAAAGTTCAGTTGCTAGCAGGTTTGGATTTAACATGGGAGCACTTCACAGTTTTAGAGCAAGAATCTGAGAGAAAACATAAAAGTGTCAGTCAACAATCTATTTAGTAACGAAAGCAACTGGAAAATATAAACATGAGTAAGTGTAACACAATGTGCTTTTAAAGTCGCCCAGTCTGATTTGAAGAGAAAATACTATCCGAGAGTTTGTATGCGCCCAAAGTGTATTGTATAATCTCTATAAAAGGATGTGCACATCATCATAACATAGAACAAGTCAAATCTCATCTATAAAACTAAATTTAAAGTCCAGTTTATGATAGCCCTGTATCTAAGTCATATATACGTTGATGTTGAAGGATTGATGGAAGTATACACATGGGGATCTTCACAAACGTGAATTTGAGACGATTTAGTAATTAAAACTGGGAGAGGAGAGAGCAAGATTTAGAATAGATTCATATGCAAAACGTCTGCTGATAAAACATCTTTGGAAGGTTCAGTGACACAGCTTGAACCTTTGACGCTTATTGTAATACTCTGCATAAATGGTCAGTTAGTTATTTTTCGGAGTATACAAAAACACCAAGAGGCGCTACACCACTATACTACACGAAATATAACGTCAGGCATTTAGTAGGTTTGCGTATAGCCTGAAGGAATCTTGTGTTGGGGGAGTGTTCGAAGTAGTAAGTGAGATCATCTGGAAGAGAAAACATGATTAAAAAATGGGCCGATAACTCACTAGGCACACAGAATGCATTTGCATTTAATAGCAAAAGCATTTGACGGCGAGGCCGACTATTCTGTGGCAATATTGATGATTTCCTATACTGCATGCATTACGATTTTAAAACCTCTGAACCTCTTCCTAACCTTGACAACTTTTTGAACCACGTATAAGAAGTGTATCGACTTTATTTTCTTGGTTTTGTATAATATATTTTTACTCTAAACTGACTGTTTGCTGATTGGCTAATATTTTCAAGGTCACTTAAGATTCGTTCAAAGGTCGACCATGAATTGGAGTCTCGCCATAAGCAATGCAAAGTAAAGAAATAATAGTGGAATGACAGCTTTGGCGGTAATAATTAACCCTCATAAGTCAAATTATCCCTTCGGGCAACGAAAAGAGAGTAAGTCTACATTTATACATACACACTAGAAGTTGAGCTTATATTAAGAGTTGGGATTATTACCCTACATATTTTTCATCATCAAACGACATCAGCTGCGAAGCGAAAGTGGTTAGGTAGTAAGAGTTAAACTGGAGTTCCGAACTAGGTTAGCGGATTCGTATCGGTTTTCAGAAAAAACTTACATCAGATATAATACCATGCTGTATCACTTTCTTATTTGCAAACTGAGATTTAGAGTATGATAGAGAAAAGGCGAACGCTATCTAGCTTTAGCAAACGCTCATGGTTAGGCGGTGAAATAGATTAAGTACACTGAAAGTCTGATTTAGAAGCATAACTTCACTTAATTTAGCTAATGCACCACCTAGGATTCACTTAATCACCGTAAAATAGATTCAGTGATTATAAACATTTTAATAACCAAATATTACCAGTATTCAATGGGCCATCAATAACATACGCGTCATCCAACACTAAGTTTAAAACTTGGCTAAATAATTTAGGTATTAATTTAATTTCGATCGTTATACTATGTTTTTACCGTTGATGCCGATAACTTTGAACGTGTTACGCGAACTATATCCGAATCAAGAGGAATTCACTCAGCCTTCATTAATAGTGCGTCTAAACAACGAAAAAATTCAGATTTGTGTAGTAAGGACAGCAGACCTGCAGTCTATGTTATTACTTTTTTATTATGATTCTGTAAGTGTAGAGTTTTCTCTTGAATGAGTCGATTGAAGATGCGGTACCACTGTTTCAGTCTTTAGTCTTCAGTAATAAGGACAGGAGGTTTATCAACCTATATTAATCCTTGCAGTGTGTAACGCTGTGGAGATCCAGTCTTGTTTTAAATGTATCAGCAGAAGGTGTTGATATTACGTGTTCCAGTAGAGCATTCCAGTAATTCACTACTCGGTGCGAGAAACGAAACTCCAGATGTAAACGATTTGATCTCGGTTTTTGAACTTTTTTCTAATGTCCTCTCAAATGATCATTCCTAGACGGAACTAAAAGATAAGACATCTTGATACCAAGGTCATAGTTTGGTATACGATAAGCCAATATTAGATCACCCCGTATTCTACGGTAAGATAACGGAAATAAGTTGAGGTGTCTCAGTTTGTCTTCTTAAGATAGGCCAGATAGACCTTTCACCATCTTAGTACCTCGTCTTTGGACTCTTTCCAGCATATCTGCTCCATATTTGAAACAAGGACTCGCTGCTTGAATCCCATATTCTAAATGTGATCGCACGTAAATCGGGTATAGTAATCTAAACATTTCATCATCTAAATACTGAAAAGACCTACGAACAGACCATAATACCCTATAGCCTTTCGCAGCAGCAGCCTTACAGTGACTAGTGGTTTCGAGATCACTACTTAATATGACTCCCAAATCTTTATAGTTTCCTACTTTGGGTGGCACGAATCCACATATTGTATAGTGATACGATTCATCATTGATATTTAATTTCATCACCACACTCTTATTAGGATTTACTTCAAGTGACCGCCTGTCTAACCATGCCACTAATGAGCTAAGATCATTCTGTAATGCTATCCTATCTGACATACTGTGTATGGATCTCCAAATTTTGCTACAGTTGGTAATTCATTTACATAAAGTAAAAAGAGAAGAGGACCGAGGATTGGACCTTAGGGAACTCCGCTTTCCACAGATACCCACGAGGCAAGAGCCCCATTACCCTGACCCTTTTTTTCCTGTCATGGAGAAAGTTGCTAATCCAATTTACGACTGTATAATGGATTCCAAAGCGTTCCAGTTTGAATTTAAGACCAGAGTGGGAGACCTTATCGAAGGCCTTACTAAGGTCTATGAAGATCACATCTACAGGAATATTCTGATCTTTTGAAGCAGCCCAATCTTCACTTGCAATGAGAAGATTTGTCAAGCACGATAGGCCTCTTCGAAATCCATGTTGTTCCCTGGAGAAAAGATTATGCTCTTCAACATAGTTTATAACAGATATCCGAATGATTTTTTCCATCAGTTTTACAACTGCACTAGTTAAGCTAACGGCTCTATAGTTACTAACTAAATCCCTACTCCGAGCCTTGTAAACCGGACTTATTATAGCGTCTTTCCAGTCTCTGGGCAGTCTGGACTATTTATTTTATTATTTTATTTTAACACATAGATATTGGTACAAGAAGGCACCAAATACATATGCGCCACACAGATCTCATTTGATTTGTGTGAGGGCTGTGATAATGCCCGGATGCCCAAACCGAAGCAGGTGGTTTTCTTAGGGGGCCACACCCCGAGCCTTCGATCTGAATGTCTGACACACAAGGCAGTGGAGCATCGTGAGGAGATGCAGTCCCATGGTAGCCGATGACCAACGATTGGTTCATACGCCATTTGTTCCTTCAGGATACTGGAGCCCATGTGCAGCATTGGTTTGGGATCCGGTTAAAGCGCCGGACATTCGCTTTTCGTCCTCTCATTTTCGTAAACAACACCCCGGCCACGTGAAGGCAGTGAATAGGACTTCCCTTGCAGAGGCTATATACGCGTGGCCATATGAGAGCGTTTCGAGAGGGAGAGCGGACTCTCCCCACTCTCGGCCGTACCAGGGCATTTGGGGGCGTCTTTCCAGTCTCTGAGCAGTCTGGGCCGCTTCAGAGACATGTCAAACAGTATCGCTAATGGTTCAGCAATTACATCTGATGTGGCTTCCATAATCCTAGGATGAATATCATCAGGACCACTGGATTTATCAGGTTTTAGATGCTGAATTAGCCTTAAAACAGTACCTTTCTCAATGACCACATGATCCATCAGTGGGCCACCACGATCACAATGAATCGTTGGTCGTTCCTCATTACTGATAGAAAACAATTTACTGAAATATTCCGATAAAGCTTCAGCTTTTTCGGCATCATTTTCTGCTAAGATTAATGGATTTTCTTGTATCAAAAGTGATGGAATTTCATCGCTTCTCTGAGTTCGCCTCTTTATATACGAGAATAACCCTTTCGGACTATATCTAGAATCTTTAACCAATTGTTTCTCATATAATCGTCTGGTCTTACTTATTAACGCTTTACAGGCATTCCTGGTCTTACAATAACTGGATCTGTATTGTTCTAAGCCAATAGAGATGAACGTATTCCCGTGCTTCTTCCTTCTTCTAAGAAGTTTCTTGGCTGGTTTGTTTATCTATGGTGGACTATTATTCGGTCTTCGCGGTACCAGGTATGGTATGAACGAGGACGTAACTGAACTAAACTTTTCTTTAAATACAGACCATGCTTCTTCAACTGATAAGCTAGTATCTACAAACGAATCTGTCTTAGCAGCGCACTCCTGAATGGCTGATATATTAGCTCTCCATACGTTCGGGCGGGGCGTGACCTGATCGTATAACATGTCCCTAGTTCTAAACGAGAATGACAAGACAGCGTGATAACTGTTCACTAACGGTGGGAGTACATTTAGGTTGACAATATCTTCAGTATCATGAGTGATTACCAAGTCCAACAGAGAAGAACCTTAGTTGGCATCAAAACGTGTGGGTTTGGATACATGCTACACTAATGCATGCTCCATTATTGTTATCGGGGACCTACTATCAAAGGAGTTTATAGATCCTTCTGTGGTCATCTCAGTCCAACTAATATTCTCCTATTATCAAGCATCTAGTATTGGCACTCCAAAAATGAATGTGCTCTGAAATAAAGTCATCAGCTGAGCAGATTGAGCTGCGATAGATGACACCGAACATAGATGTACTACATCCGATAGCCCATTTACAGCTAATGACTTCACAAGTACCCCTGTCATGGGATTCGCTAGTCGAGGAGTGATTATTTATATCATTGGCTATATGTGACAGGACGCCACCTCCTTTTGTACATCTATGTCTATCACTCCTTAGGTAATGATATCCGAGTAATTCTGGAGTAATGTCTAAGTCATGGACTAACCAAGTTTCTGTCACTGCTACGATGAGTGGCCTTAATCTGTCCACTAATGCTTCTAGTTCATAGAACTTATTTCTTAGGCTACGAGCGTTGGCATATAAAACTCCTAGGCAGAACGGCCTATCCACACAGGTCTTGTTAGCATTCGCTTTCAAGACCTGACTATCCGAAAACCCACTAACCGTAGATTTTACTCACCATTTTGTTGACGGATTTCTAGTTCAGCTGGTGCTTTCTTTCTTTTTATTCTATGTTCGAGAGACATATCAGGTCTAACTCGGATATTGGAATTGTCGTGACAACGAGCATTACTTACCAGGAGATCATGTTGCTTCTCTGATGCTAGGATTACCTTGAGGAGTCTGCATGGTCGGGGTTCAGCATTGTCCTAGGTCCTCTTGCCTATTCTAACAAGCTTTTTGTCCTGAACTCCTTTAGAGTTATCTAGTAAGATACTACGAATATATTCTCCTAACTTCTCTAAATCATGCTTGTGTCTAATTTTGGGATCACGGTCTTTTCACTCCAGCAATTTGCTTACAATAATATTCGATGATATTCACGTCTGGGTGGGTTTCCCTCTTACTATCGGATTTTGGTAGTGCATTTTGTGACTCACAATGGGAGTCCACCTATGACTTGCTAACCATCTGCGCACTGCCCACAGCTTCTTTCTCTTTGCTTCGTTTTTTCCGCCTGTAGCTCTCCTACAGTTACTGCCGGTCCCAAGCCCGAATAAAGGAGGAGGATTGGGCATGGGGTTAGCGTCCCCATCCCATAGAAACCTAACTCGCTAAAAAAACGCTAACCACAAAAAATAACTCAAACCATTTAAACTCTGCCCTGGGAGTTAGAGGTAATATGACGCTTCATGGTGAAAGCCGAGTTCCTTCGGAAGCCACGAGGCCGATGCCCCTTCTAACAACCAGAGCAACAATTTTTATAGGTACATGGAACATCCGGACAATGTGGGAGAACGGGAAGACTAGTCAAATAGCAACGGAAATGAGGAGATACAACTTGGCAGTACTGGGAATCAGTGAAACCCATTGGACCCAAGCTGGACAACAAAGGCTAAATACGGGAGAGATGCTGCTATACTCCGGTCACGAAGAGGAGAATGCTCCACACACTTAGGGAGTTGCTCTAATGCTATCCACAGTAGCACGAAATGCACTTGTAGGATGGGAATCTCACGGATCCAGAATCATCAAAGCATCATTCAAAACAAAGAAGGAGGGGATCACAATGAACATTATCCAATGTTATGCACCCACCAATGATAGCAACGACGACGTTAAGGATCAATTCTATGAGAGGCTTCAATCAATCATAGAGAAGTGCCCAAGAAAGGACCTCACCATTCTGATGGGAGATCTAAACACCAAAGTCAGAATGGACAACACCGGATATGAAGACATCATGGGACTACATGGACTGGGAGAGAGAAACGAAAACGGGGAAAGATTTGTCAATCTGTGTGCATTCAATAAATTGGTCATAGGCGGTACAATATTTCCACACAAACGTATACACAAAGCTACATGGATCTCACCGGACCACACCACAGAGAACCAGATAGATCACATTTGCATCAATATAAAGTTCCGAAGGACAATGGAAGATGTGAAAACCAGGAGAGGAGCGGA